CTCTCTCTCTCTCTCTCTCTCTCTCTCTCTCTCTCTCTCTCTCTCTCTCTCTCTCTCTCTCTCTCTCTCTCTCTCTCTCTCTCTCCCCCCCCTACCTGTTCTCACAGATCTTGCTCACTCTGATGAACGTTTTCCCTGAGTCTCACTCAAGCTCCCTATTAGCTGTGGTGTCGTGCGCACGTCGGACTGTAAACTCTCAACACAAAGTCTCGCATGTCACTTGACTGCACAAGACCGCAACAGTGCTTCCGCAAATGGAAACTATGTTGACGTTCTGCTGACGCCGACATTTTCTAGCAGCTGCAGCTCCCAGTTTTGGCTCTTTCCAGACTGATACCTTTTCGTTTGCCAGCAGCAATCTGTTTCCAACGCATCTTGAGTTTTCACGGACTTTCCTGAGACTGAGCTGCATTTTTGGACTGACCGTCGAACACCTGCTGACAAATAACAAACTGGATCTGCCGGTCTACTTTATGCAGACCTACAGGACCTGCTGGCAATTGTACAGGGGGGGCACTAGTTGGGACAATGCAACATGGGACTTCTGGGACCTGGACCTGGCACTGGGAATTCTGAGATGAGTGAAGTTCTTTCACTAGGATTGTCAGGCAGCTTGCCCAAGCCTCACCTAAACGTCTGACCTGGTTTGCCACCCTGGCAGGTGCAACCGGCCCTGGACCGTAGTCTTATCAGGAGGTCGGATAAAGTGACTCCCACCTGCCCCCACAACCGGAAACCTCAAACCCGACCTAGTAACCCCTCTATGCTGAGGAATCCCCACAGCCAACTTAACTACTGCCTGCTCTTTGCTCACTTGCTTGTAAACCCCATGCTAAGTTGCCAATGATGAACGGTGTCCATCAATTATCCACCCACTCTTGCCAGGAGAAATATGCGCCGGTGCCCACCAATCAGCCTCAGTCTTTTCTGCAAGCATCGGTGTGGCATGCTACATTTTTTTTTATTTTTTTTTCTATTCTGGGGGGCATCAGTCCGGTGGCTCATCACCGGCAAGCCTGGAAAAACAAAATACAGTTTGATTGAAAAGAGAAGAGGAAAGCCTTGCCCTTGCGGCCCCAGACGCCTCTCAAGGGGGAGATTGCTACAACCAAAGCCCACTTCCCATACCACAGCCGTCCCAGGGACACCTCTGTTGGTCGGGAAGCTTCCTAGCAGCACCCAGTCACACAACAGACGGGTCCCCAGGAGAGGCCTAGGTCGGGGGGCCTGTTCTAGCAATCTCACGAGCCTCTCATCATGTTAAGCCCTTCCTCAGTGTCCCTATTAAGAGCCTCTGGGCACCATCTAATATTTACATCCTCGTACCACCCTCAAATCTCCACTACGCAGTGCATGCTACATTTTTCCCACCCACCTGACTTTCTTTATCACTCTGTCTTTTGGCTAAGATCAAGTGTAGTGTCTGTTCTCATCAGTTTAATATCTGATCCAAAAACAAAAAAAGACTGGGCTGCCTGGAGATGCCTTTCAGGAGGGACTTCCCAAGTGGCGTGACTTGTAGCTGAGCAGCGAGTTTGTCCCTCGCTGGTACAGCTGACCACGACCTCACCATTCCTCTTTGAACTTACTGCCCATTGCACCTTCTCCACGTTGTCATTTTGACAGGATCTCAAAAGCTTTCCTCCATCTTCAAGGAACCTCAGATTCTTCCATCTGCATCATTGTACCCTTGCATAACTGGGCACTAACATCCGCATGCCACTGGACTGATCTGATCTGAATCTTGGAGGACTTGCAGTATTCACACTCGAACTCATTCCACTTTGTTGTGAGTGGGCACTTGCATACATCCCACAGCATCCTGTGAATATGCCCTCACTGGAGAAAGTGTGGATTCAGAGGCATGGACATAAAGGTTAGACGATTCAGAAGGCTATTGGCTCACAAGACGATTGTACCCTTTGGCAGAACCATTAGCCAAACATTGGGAAATGAGGATGGCGTACCTCGAACACAAGTGTCACAACTGTCATGGGCCCTACTGCACGCAATGCGCCTGGGGAGGGTGAGTGGTATGCAATGGCTGATCTTCCACGTTACACTGTCGGGGAACGCCTGGCTCTACGAAAGACAAAGCCAGCATCATCGGGACCTTTCCGATCAGCTTTGCGCACAGTACTCGGAGAGCGTCCCGGAGACAATGCGTCACTGCCTGCTAACCTGCCCAGAGGCTGTTTCCATGGGGGGGGAGGCCGAAACTTTATGGAACAGGATATCAGATGGACGTTTTCCAGCGGAAAAAAGGTTGCTGCTCACAGGGCAGGCCTTCCTGGAGCATGGAAAAAGCATCAGCGATGCTCCTTGCTTCTTTCAATCGCTAAGACAGTATACGCTATGGACTCAACAGAAGAGAAGGTGCCAGCAGACGATTCCCAAGCGGCAGATGCACAGACGGGAGGCACAGGAAACACTGCACGATCTTCTGGAAACGAACATCAGAGCACAACGGCATAAAGTCCGCAGGCAATCCAAATGGAACCTGGAGCAAACCCGGGAGATAATGGACAAGCTCCAACAAAAAGAGCTGGTGCGAGGAAAGGCACCGACAGTGGAAGGACCCAGGCTGGCGTTTCACTAGTTCAAAAGAGTACAGCAATAGGACCAAGGAAGGATGGAGGAATGTGGATTTTGTTTTTCTGAAGAAAAGAAAAGAAGGCAGCAACAGAACCCGCTGATGGAATTGGAGAGACAGGAGCGGGCGGAGACAGGGTTACAAGCGAACTTGGAAGAGGGGGAGTGCTATGTCTTCCCCATCGTCCTTTGGAGGTCTTCGGAAGGTTTCAAGATGTTAACGGAAAGACTGACAGAGGTACCGATTTTCAGCGTGAACAAACTCCCGCAGGAACAGCTTGTCCTCAAGAAGGTGACACAGTAGGTAGGAGCAAAGTACGAAGTCATGTCCAGGCATCTCCGCCTCAAGATTCATTTGGCACACAACGGAAGGCCAAGAATATGCAGTGATCATACACTTTGAAATGATTTTCTCCTAGAGCGGTGGCAGATGCAGGGCTCGATCCCTAGACCTAGTCCCTTACCCGTGTAGAGTACCCATTGTCCTGTGTGTTTGAACCGTGACCTGTTTCTTGAAAGTTGTATGTTCGGCTACTGTATATAGTGCCGTTGCGTGGGTTTGACCCGTAGACCTCAGTTTTAGTTGTCGTAGGGTCAGCATAGGTCATAGCTGCTGTAGTTTCGAAAGGTCAAGTCTAGAGTCTTCTAGACTAGTCTCACTGGCTCTCCGTAGGTCTTAGGAGTCAGTCCGCAGCTGAGTCAGCAAGGGGCAGTCCCAGTCCTACCTAGTCCAGTCAGCGGTACCCAGTCCCAGGGTGCATTTTGTCTAGTCACCAAGTACAATGTTGGACTGCGTACATCCCGAGCCCAGGGTCCAAGGGCAGACAAACGACGATCCAAAGAGGCAGCGTCAAGTCATTCATTCATTCTGCCTGTGAGCCGTGCAGAAGCGTTGTCGGAGCGTCTTGTGCTACGGAGGTCTGCAGGTGTTTGAGGAAGAAGAGGGTTAAGAGGAGGACGGCGCGACCATAGCCACAAGTGAGCATAGGAGGGGGGGGGGGAAGTGGATGCGCAAAGGAAGGAGGTGAAGTGGCGGCCATAGCCGCCGAGCTCAGATGTGAGGAGGAAGAAGATAGAAAGTAAAGAGGAAGGAGACGAGAGAGAGAAAGAAGGAAGGAGAGATGAAGAAGGAAAGAGAAGAAGCCATAGCCAAGGTCAAGTGAGGAAGAAGACGACAGGGAGAAGGAGAAAGACGAAGGTGAAGGTCGGTGGCCATAGCTAGGAGGTTGAAGGGTTGGTCAAGACGAAGTTGACCAGCATCGACCGGCGTTGACTGGCGTTGACACGGAGCATTGACCCGGTGTGAGGAAACCCGGGGAGGGGTCGCCTACCGCTCGCTGAAGCCAAGGGCAACAGCGTCTGTCACTCGCTGCGCCCGCGACAGAGGTCCTCGGTGATCCATAGGTTGGGAAGGGTAGTGTAGCCTGTCACGCCCCCCCCCCTCTTAGGGACGGTGGGTACAACTAAATCTCCAAGCCGAATCAAGACTCGATTCGCAGTGATCAGCAAGTGCAACTGTGTGCCAGATCGTAACTCAAGTCCTGACCTGACCGGGACTGACCACTTTTACATAGTACAAGATAGCGAAGCAGAATGCTAGAATACTAATGACTAGCCCAATCAATGTTTCAACGCAGACCAAACTTGCATCATGCTCATCACAAGGTGTGAAGGGGCCTGGCGCTATACACAGGAAAGAGGCGCCAGGTCCAGATATACACAGACGAAGAGGAGGGGATCAGACGAAGAAGAGGAAGGGGGAGATGGGAAAGTCGTCAACACCAAGTCTTATTACAAGTCCCAAATAATCCCTCTTCAAAATGTCTGAAGTCCCATGTCGAGTCTGGATCCAATGTCATCAAGCTCTCCCTCTCTCTCTCTCGTAGTCTGCTGATGCAGTGAAGTCAGATAGCGAGAGGGTGAGAAGGAGATGGTGGACTGAGAAGAGGAAGAAGAAGAACTCTCTCTCTCTCTCTTGTATGCCAGGTACTAACCTGTGAAGATGGCGCTGTGCTGCAGGTACCTCGAAGACGAAGCTGGAGCAACGACGCTGCAGGTAAGTATCCCTGGCCTCAGCCCAATCTCTCTCTCTCTAGTACTACTCCAGCTATGGCGCCCAGCGCTGAGGACTACAACTAACGCTAGTAGCGCCCAGCGCTGAAGACTACTGCTAATGCTACAACTACTCCTGCAGCGCTCCTCCAGAGTGCTGCTGCCGAATCCTGAAGACAACCTCCTGCCTTCTGCCTTGCACGTGAAGTGCCTGGGAAGTACCTAGGAACTACCTGCCTCCTGCAGGGCGGGCAAGTCTTATATAGTGCTGGCCCGTCCAGGAGGCTGCTCTTGCCAATGCCAAAACGTGCCAGACCCTGGGGTTGAAGCTCAAACAAAGGTTGTCTTGAAAATAGGCCAAAAATGGCCTGAGCTAAAACCCTGGTCTGGTGCCTGAGTTTCAGGACGGGTTGAACTGATGAGAGCCTGAAAATGGCCCTCAGTTTCAGGCTGAAAATACTCAGGGCCGGAAAGGCCCTGATTTAGCCTGAAACGACACAGGGCCTGTAGGCCCTTGTTTTCAGGCTTTCAAGCTGAAACGACACGGGGCCTGTAGGCCCTTGTTTTCAGGCTTTCAGGCTGAAAACAGCACGGGGCCTGTAGGCCCTTGTTTTCAGGCTTTCAGGCTGAAAACAACATGGGCCTGAAAATGGCCCGTGCAGCCTGTTGCAGGCGCAGCAAGTAACATTACTGACGGCCATGTATAACAAGGCACTTAAGCATGGATCTTTCCCGCACAACTTTTGCAGAAGCATACATGGTCTTGCTTTATTAAAAAGGGATGGAGGACTTGCGAAACTGGAGGCCGATTTCCATCCTTTATGCACTGTACAAGATCTTGGCTAAAGTGATGGTGACCCTCCTGAGAGGCTGAGAGAGGTACCCGTCGAATTATACAAGGACTTCCGCAACCTCTTGGTGACCTTACTGATGGCCATGTATAACGAACCACTTAAGCATGGATCTTTCCCGCACGACTTTGCAGAAGCATACGTGGTCTCGCTTTATAAGAAAGAGTGGAGGATTTGCGAAACTGGAGGCCGATTTCCATCCTTTATGCATTGTACAAGATCTTGGCTAAAGAAATGGCGACCCGACTGAGAGGCTGAGAGAGGTGCTGCCGCGCATCATAGATTGCACCCAGACGGGTTTCGTAACGGACCGCCAGATTCTGTCCGATGTAATCCTGGCGCAGCAGGCCTTGGAAGAGGACCATTTTTTTTTTATTTTTTTTTTTAAGCCACTTGTCCCTGTGGTAACTTTTCTGACACCTCTAGCTTCAAGTCCTGAAACAGGCACTGCCATGGCCTTTGTCTCTTGGAAGCTCTCTGAGGATAAGGGGGCGCCTGTTATATTTCTGGAGGAAACTGAGATGCCTGTTGGGCTTTTTGAGGTTCCCGGGCATTTAGCA